GCAATGGAGACTAAGAGAGAACGATACAAAAAAATAAATGAAGCCAAGTGTTGGTTCTTTGAAAGAATAAAATTGACAAACCCTTAGCCAACCATATCAGAAAAAGGAAAAAGGCCCAAATACATGCAGTTATAAATGAAAAGGATGAAATTGCAATGGATCCAGCGGAAATCCAGAGGATCATCAATACCCTTCTTCAAGAACCTGTATGCCAATAAGATGGAAAACACAGAAGAAATGGACAGATTCCTAGATACACATGAATTACCAAAGTTGAACAAGGAAGACCTAAAAATTCTAAACAAGCCAATATCCATTAATTAAATTGAAAATGTAATTAAAAACTTACCAACTAAAAAAGGCCTGGGTCCCGATGGCTTCACTGCTGAATTCTGTAAGACATTTAGAGAGGAACTAGTGCCACTACTCTTTAAACTCTTCAGTGAAAATGAAAGGAAAGCAAAACTCCCAAATTCATTCCTGGAAGTAAGCATCACCTTGATCCCAAAGGCAGAGAAAGACCCACCCCCAAAAGAGAACTCTAGGCCAATCTCACCAATGAACATAGATGCAAAAATCCTTAATAAGATACTGGTAAATAGAATGCAGAAGATCATCAAAAAAATCATACACCCTAATCAAGTGGAAGTCATCCCAGGGATGCAGGGATGGTTCAACATATGCAAATCAATAAATGTCATACACTGTATCAATAGAGCCAATGACAGAAACCATATGATCATCTCAATAGATGCAAAAAAAGCATTTGACAAAATTGAACATGCATTTATGATAAAAATCCTTCAAAAAAATTGGAATAGATGGTCTCTACCTCAATCTGGTAAAAGCCATCTATGAAAAACCAACAGCCAATATCATGCTAAATGGTCAAAAACTGAAATCCTTCACACTAAAATCAGGAACAAGGCCAGTATGTCCACTATCACCACTCCTGTTCAATATAGTTATGGAAACATTAGCCACAGCAATTAGACAAGAGAAAGAAATGAAAGGAATAAAGATGGGAAATGAAGAAGGCAAATTGTCATTATTTTCAGATAACATGATATTCTATATAGAAGGCCCTAAGAACTCCATGAAAAGTCTTCTAGACTTAATAATGAAATTCAGTAAAGTAGCTGGATACAAGGTCAACACACAAAAATCAATAGCTATCCTGTACATGAACAACCGACTCACTGAGAGAGAAACATGGCAAACAATTCCTTTCACAATAGCATCCAAGAAACTGAAATACCTAGGAATCAACCTAACAAAAGAAATGAAAGACCTCTTCTCTGAAAACTATAGCACTCTGAAAAAAGGGATTGAAGACAGTATCAGGAAATGGAAAGATATCCCTTGTTCCTGGGTAGTGAGAATCAACATAGTGGAAATGGCCATACTTCCAACACTGCTATATAGATTCAATGCAATCCCAATTGAAATTCCAGTTGCATACTTCACAGACCTTGAGAAAACAATCCAGAAATTTATTTGGAAAAAGAAGAGACCTAGAATAGCAAAAGCAATTCTAGGCAACAGAGACATGGCACGGGGTATCACAAATCCCAACTTGAATGTATACTACAAAGCCACTGTGATAAAAACAGCATGTTACTGGCAAAGAAACAGACCCGAGGACCAGTGGCACAGATTAGAAGATGCAGAAACAACTGCAGACACACTCAGCC